TTGATCAGATGCTGCTGCTGACTGATCCATGATGTGATGTAAATGTAACATTTTCTACATACAGGTCAAATTAATCTCTGCAATAAAATAACTTTGTCTGTTTTTGTCACTTTTACAGTGGATTGCATCAARTCTGTTACATTACAGAAGGGAAACTTCACCAAAGTGAAACATAAATCTGTGGATCTGTGTTTGATTACTCTGCCTGGCTTTCTCAAGGACCAGGATGTGACACAAAAATCTGAATTATGGAATTGAAAGTGAAATTAGTCAAACTGAATTTTTAATAAACCAAAATACAGTTTCAAAGCAAATTAATTCAAATTCAAAACTTTAAATTCAGTTTCAATTTAGTAAAATTCATTTTCAAACCAATGCATTCAATTTCAAATTCTGCACATTCAGATTCAATCTGAGCAATTCAAATTCAATTCCTGCTGACACAAGCTTGATCCCATAGCACAGCCAGGTGACCTTTGAAAACAAAAAACATTTCTTTAACTCGGTCAGGTTTACAGGTATTGTAGTAAAACTTGGTGTGATATTAGCTGAGTTATTCACAAAATGTAGACCCAAGTGCTGCTCGCCACACATTAAATGTTGGAATCAACGCTGTTTGTTAGCAAATGGCTGCTACAGCTTCCACTAAAATGGCTTTAACTTTGTCATTTTTACAGAAGTGATGACAAAGTTAAATGTGGTAGTAGTTGAGAGTCAAGTTTGGCTAAAAGGCTCTAACTTTGACATTTTTCAAGCTCTGTGTCATTAAAGCTGGGAGGTTACATGCATTCTTTTCCCTCACTTGTCCCAGTTGTAACCCTGATGTTAGAGACGAGAACATTAGTGTGCACGCCTTATTAACGGACTGTTTTTCTGTCTGCAGCCGATGGAGAGGGAGCCTCTGATCTATCACCTGGACTCGACGTCCCGTCGCACTGAGAGCGACGAGGATCTGCCCGACGAGTTCTTTGAAGTGACAATGGATGACGTACGGAAGCGCTTCGCCCAGCTGAAAAGCGAGAGGTTTGTTGGAGGACATGGCTTTGAATCAGACGACTGTTTAGGTTGAAATGTCTCTTTGCAACAGAAGCCCGTCTGAATCAGACCTGTGGTCCTGCTGTGTTCTGTCTGTACATACATACTAGCCTGGCCCTTGCCTTCCTACGCAGCTCCGCTCAATTCTAGTTTCCCTTCACTGCTCCGTCTGGGACTTCTCCCGTTGACAAGGATTTCGCTGAGAAGGTTGCGCATCACTGCCTGTATTTTTTACGTTTTTTTTTTTCCCCAGTTTATTATGAGTTTGAAGTTATTTATTTATGAGCGCTTCTTCAAAACAGATGTATCTAAGTTTACTTTGTGCTCTCTGGACATGGCCTCAGCTGCGGAGACATTGTGTGTTTGCGTTCATGTTCCCTTTCACAAAACACCACACACACTACAAAGGCTTCCAAATGCAGCACACTGGGAGCAATTAGTGAGTCTGTTTTGTGTAGATCTTCCAGTCTTCAAGAGAACGGCATCAGTTTAAGACTTTGCTGTGCCCAAAATTTAATCTGTCAACATTAAGCTAATAGGCTGCCTCATTGCGACGCTGCCACCATGTCAATGACTGCAATTACCAAGGGTGGAATTAAGCCGACCACAGCAATTTGTCTCTGCCTCTGACATGCACGCCACACAAACACGGCCACACACGAGCGAGGGCAGGAGATTTGACGCTGCTCATCTTTTTCATGAACAACTTAATGGGTCAGATTTTATTTCATACTCTGGTCTGTATTTCTGGTTTTTTTTTCTTTAGGAAGTTATTAGAGGAGGCTCCACTTATGACTAAATCTATGAGAGAATCACAGATGAAGGAGAAGCTGGCGAAATATCCCAAAGTGAGTTCCAAATATGTTCCCGCTGTTTTTTTGTCGTTTCTCCAAAACAAAAAACTGATTACAAATAACCTCTGTGTCTCCAGGCGGTCCTGAGGGTCCAGTTTCCAGACAGATATGCTCTCCAGGGCTTTTTCAGGCCACTCGAGACAGGTTTGTGTTGGTTGATGACATGGAGAGTGTTCATTTCACCTGCCACAGGTATGGCTGCAATGTTAAATCCGCTTGTGGCTTCCTCACCACATTTACAACTGCAGCCACAGCAGAGTGACAGAGACAGAAAGAATGAGACCAGTCTGTAATTCCACAGCAACTAATTAGAGGGAAATTCCTTCTGAAACATGAGTTACAGTCCACACAGTGAGCAGCAGAGGTTTGACGTAGTTTGTTACCACTCCAGCTGATTCTCTCTGTCTTCTGTCCAGTTGGTGCTGTGAGACATTTTGTGAGAAGTCACCTGGAGGATCCTCAGCTCAGTTTCTACCTGTGTAAGTGACATCTCATCGCTCATTAATTAACCACACCATCTTCATCCTAACTAAAGTGTAAAGATACATTATCTTTACATATCTGCTGCTGATTCATTTGACACTCAGCCCTTAGAAATCCAAGTTCTGCTCATCATTTTTGTGAGTTTTCATCACACTGAACTCTAATACTGTTGAGTGCTTAAATCTGGAATCTGACATTGAAATAAACATCTAAACAATCCAATCAATCAATAGAAGTATTTTTGCATATGTGAGGTTAAACTCCCAGAGTTACAGTGCCAGTGCTTGCTGTTAGATTCTTTTTTATTTTAGTCTTAACTAGTGGTGATTAAACCTGGCCATCATGAAGCACTGTCCTGCATGTTTTAGATCAGGGGTGGGCAGTCCTGGTCCTCGAGGGCCACAGCCCTTCATGTTTTACTTGTTTCTCTGCTCCAACACACCTGGTTTAAATAAATGTGATTACAGTGTGACCTCACTGTGTGACCTCACTGTGTCATCTGACAGTGTGACCTCATTGTGTGACCTCACAGTGTGACCTCATTGTGTGACCTCACAGTGTGACCCCACTGTGTGACCCTACTGTGTGACCCCACTGTGTGACCCTACTGTGTGACCTCACTGTGTGACCTCACAGTGTGACCTCACAGTGTAACCTCACAGTGTAACCTCACTGCGTGACCCCACTGTTTGTTCCTTTGCTGGGCAAATCTTTGGGCCCAGAATTTTTCTGAGAGATTGTACAAATTCACCCAAGTTTCAAACATTAAAGAGCCATTTAAAAAGGTTTGACAAACAAAGCAACTGGACTTCATTTATTTCTGTAGTTGAAGATGTCTGTAGAAGACTGCAGAGTAGAAGTCCAGTTTTTGGGCTGAGTTCAGCTCTACACCATCCCAACAGCACTGACAGGGAATGAAGGGATGGTATTCACTCTGTCACAAATCTGTGTATCAGCCAAATGTTTTGAAGATGATTTTTTTAAAACAAAATTGCACATTTTATTTCTTTAATTTTTCATCATTCTTGAAAATAAGTGTTTATCACTATTTTTTAATTATCTCAAAAAAAGATGTCCAGACCAGGGGTCAGATTTATAAAAGATTGTGTGGAAACCATACTAAAAATGAACTTACGGCCAAAAGGTGAAAATGGCGTACGCCAAAAAATATTCAGATTTATAAAACCGTG